CTTCCTCCATGGTGTCAGCCAGCCGATCATAGGCTTTGTTTTCTATCTATCTTATTCCACTACATCTCTGTCGAGTTGTTCCAATTCAATTGAACATTACTATCCATCTTCAAGACAAAGCCATGGCCTCTGCTACTAATATTTTCCAGTAAGGTCGTTCTATCTGGTCAAATTCTGCCTATAATACTCTATTGGGATACAGTAAATAACAAGATACAAAGCGAGAGCAGTTTAAAACGCATAGTGAACATTTCCATACTCCGTACACCTTTTCAATCTGCTAAATTACCACCAATCTACTACTCAAGATGACTCAATACCTTCATGGAACAAACCCCGAAAAATATCATTTTCGTTGTGCCGAGGCAGTCGATCCAGTACCCACCATGATCTACGACAAAATCAGATCCACGCCCCCGGGAACTCTCCGCCGTTAATCAAAGTCCACCATTAACCCGAGGTCACCAGGTCACCAGTCGAGTGGGTCATTGTGTCCTTGGGAATCGCCGACGATTGCACCACGGTCCTTCACATGTGCCATACCGAGAAAGCTGTCTAAATAAGCCTAAAGTAGTATTCGCTGCATATATTCCGCATATATACCGATCCCGACAGCGCTGGTTCTGTCCAGCTCGGGAACAATGACGTCGGCACGTTCGCACTAGTATACCGAAATTCTGCACGTCGAGAATCGAATCAGCCCACTTCTCTTTTCTTCCGTGTCTCTAGCGCCGGGGTAATATCTTTGCAGTTCCGAGGTTTCTCTTTTGCAATTTTCAGTTGCCGGTGGAATCGTGGGGAAGTTCGGAGTCTCCGCTCGGGCTATTTCGGGGAGAGCTGGGGTCGATTATCTGATTGATTTATCAATTGCTTTTCGTGGATTTTGGGAGTCTTGATCTGTGAGTCATCAAATATTTGTCGCTTCTGACAACGGTTATTTACATTTTAGCGTTAAGACTATATTGTGGCTGGTGCTTTTGGTGGTTATTTGGGTCGCAAGGGGTTTGTGGCTTTGCATCGCGATCTACTGGTTTTGTGCTTTTGTTGGCAAAATTGTGACTGCATCGGTGTTATATTGAGTCCTAAGCGTATAGTATGTTTCCTTGGACCGTGAGACTCTTTGGGCCTATCTATCATTCACCTTATGGCCGGTCGCGAGCAGTCTGCCTTCTCGATGGGCCCATTTAGCCGACCTAATGGTCAGCAATTGATTGAGGCTGAAGTTAATCAAGGCTGCTGAAGGTTATATATTAAAGTTGGGCCATGATCTAGGTAAGTATGCGCTCATGCCAAAACATGAATTGTGATGGAATAGCAAGGTTTGATATATCGAGGTAGTAATTCCTGTCGCACAGTGTGTAACTATTGTAGTGGGCTTTAGTTGAATATTTTAATGCGGCGGCTTGTAATACCAGTGCGAAAAATTCTTAGACTTCCAATGGTTATAACTTCTGCACTTTGACTTATTTAGTGGTATATGGGGTACTCGCTTTCAGATAACTGGCTTTGGTTCATGATATATATACCCCACCCCGTACGGAGTACAATATAATGACTGTTCAGTTTATAGATGACAGAGCTATTCTTCGCCTCTTACGCGATACCGCACATTTTATGATGCAGCCATGGAAACTCCTGGATGTGTTCAATTTTCTAACCAGTCTCCACAGTTGCCTCATGATCTACATGATAGATCTATTTCAGGTCTTCCACTATTATAAGGAGTCCTTTTCAATCAATTAAATCAGCCCCAAATGCATACTACATACTAATCATTCAAGCTTCGTTCAGTCTTAATGTAGCGAACGGTAAACTGAAGTATATAGTAAGTAGACCCAAGTATTCAACTGCAAAATAAAAGTGGTCCCTGTCAGGGCTGCCAGGGTCAGACGTTCTCGACCCAAGTGGAGGTGTAAATCCAGTCTAGACCGTATGTTGATACCCCGTACGCCTGGCATTCCTACGGTCGCATTCTGTAACCTCAAGCGGTTTGCTAGTTTCCTTCTTTTGCATTCTGTTTTTTGTTTTTTTTTTTTTTTTTTCACTTTACATACTCCCATGAAATTTTTGAATATTTAGCTATTTAGCTATTTAGCTATTTACCTGTTAAGCTGTTAAGCTCCAATTTAATGGACCACTAATACATTTGCATGCCCCATTATAGTCCAATATAAAAATAGTCTAAAAACAAGATTCGAGATCAATATTCCTGTATTCCTGTATGGAGTATTCATATAGAACTTCCAAGGTTTGAGCTTGGACTCCACTAGCTCCATTACCGAGATGATCAATACTGGAAAGAGCGTTAGACCAGTGGAGGACAGTGGGAACTAAACCCAAATAGGTTTAGATTCAACTGGAGTTCTTGTCAGTTTTGGTCAGGGGTTCACAGTGGAGACCGTTCGCCACTTCCCCCCTCACATCTTTCAATTCAAACTCTTCAATTCTCTACTATTTATTTACTTTTCACACTTTCGTTTAATTCCCTTCCAGATCTTTTGTGCGGTTATTTTGAATAGACAATTGAATCCGACGGTTCCTCAAATGCAGGTTTCTACATCTTCTGCCTAAAAATCCCCCAGGGATCATGCATCTCTCATCATGTCTGGTCTTCATTGCTGGCATCTCGGGCGTGCACGCCTTTTATCCATGGGAATTGCGGATGAAACTTTCCACGGAAACAGTGGAAACAACAGTCGAACGTCGCTTTGTTCCATGGACCTTGATTGAAGCGAAATCCGAGAGTACCGACAGCACCGACACATCCACAACCGACACAAAACCTTGGACTCTTGACCTGAAGAAAATGCCCGTTCGCCGCGACGATGGCTATAAGATCGTCGAGTCCCATAAGCCGTCATTACCAAACAGCGCACCATTAAACCAGGACGGAACGGATTATTCATACTTCTCTCCCGTCCACGTAGGTTCGCAAAAGAAGGAAATGTGGATGGCAATCGACACTGGAGCACCAAATACCTGGGTCTTCGACTCAAATTGCACCGAGCCTGTCTGCGCACGTCATCACAAGTTCGACGGCTCAGCATCAACCAGCTACACCGCCGACGGTTCGACTTTCAGCCTCTTTTACGGTAGCGGTAAGGTCGATGGAAAGATGGGAAAAGACACCATCTCAATTGCAGGGCTCGAAGTCTTGCAAACTTTTGGTCAAGCCAACAATGCCTCGGAAACTTTTCAGAGTTACCCATTCGACGGGATCCTTGGCCTGGGTCGGTCGCATACAGCAGGGTGGAATTTGCCATCTTTCATGGATCTCGTTGCCGATAAAAAGCTCATCAAGTCAAACCTGGTTGGGTTCAGCCTCTCTCGCTCGGCAGACGGTGGCAAGGATGGTGAAATCAACTTTGGTGATGTCGATAGAACCAAATTTGATGGTACCATCAAATACACTGCTACCAACGATAAAATCTGGAGCATCCCCGTGGATGATGCTTATGTGAATGGAAAAAGTTGCAACTTTTCCGGAAAATCCGCTACCATCGACACCGGAACCACCTATCTCTTGATTCCTCCCGCAGATGCCAAAGCCCTGTTTTCTCTCGTCCCTGATGCATCTCAACAGCCTTCCAACAAGAATAACTATTTGATCCCATGTAACTCGACTGCTACCATCGAGTTCGAGTTCTCTGGTGTCAAATATAACGTCTCCCCTAAGGATTATGTCGGAAACGTCGAGTCGGACGGTTCGGACTATTGCATTTCGACCATTGTCGGCTATGCATCCAACGGTGCAAACTGGCTTGTCGGCGATGTCTTTTTGAAAAACGTTTACACTGTGTTCGACTTCGATAATGGACAAATCGGTTTTGGCGCGCTTGCTTCAGCCTCGGCCGCAGCCTCGAAGTTGAACTCAGACTCACACTCAAACTCATCTTCAACCTCATCCTCTTCAACCTCATCCGCGGGCAATGGGACATTCACCGCACCACCAGTCACTGCCACCGCCTCATCTGGTGCCGACGCCACATCATCATCATCGGCCACCTCTACAATGGCCACGATCTCCGACAGCTCCGCATCCCACCTCGTCCGCGGTATTAGCTGGTCTATGCTCACGGTAATGCTTGTTGCATTCGCTATTTGAACTGCATTTTAGCCCACATTTCCCTTCTCAGCAATTTTTTTGATTTGGCGGCAATCATATTTCTGCTCTTTGTATTACTGTACACTCACTTATTCCCCATGTCTTTTCCGTGCATATTGTCGATTGTTGTACACGCACATCGTTTCACTTCTGTTAATACTCCCGGGTCCACATACGAGCGCCCACTCATTCTGGCATACGTTGGCGGCACTTTGTCTATTCGGCTTTTTTTCAGCTGCATATATCACTCGTTTTGTGTGGAACATCCAACATCTGTCCTTCATTTGAAGAGGACATGACTTGCCATTATTTTTTATCTACATAGACAAAAGTCTACAATATCATTGGCTAGAGGCCAACATCTCATAATATCACCTGCAGTTTCCAATTGTAGATTAATCATGTCTAATCCATGAATCAATGCACCTTCCAAGATTTCAATATGAACTGCCCGTATGAATTGGGGTAACATGTGACATTGAAAATCAGGGAGGCAGGAGCCCACTTTAGGAAGGTACGTTGGGGGGTATACACCCCTCGCCCGTGGATTTTTCCTCTTCTCTTCTTCCTCTCACCGGCCTAAGATGGTGGAAGCGGAGGGTGCCAGACTTATGCACCAGAAAGATCTCACATTATCAAGATCTTGAGGTCAATGGTGGTCCGCACGCTGTTGGTCCGCGTTCAAATCAAACTGGGAACCTGGGAGTTCTCGTGGAAGTTCGTTGACAACGACGTGGCTGAGCTTCTGGGGCTCGATAGTCATTATCGGGTGCGTGGTAGTCAACCAATACGTTTAAAGCTGAGGACGTAGGTTTGAGTTATATCTATGGATGTCTTTTGGGCTCGCGTAACAAGTCATAAGAATCCCATAAAGTCCTGGCAAAGTTTCTTCCATTCACAAAGTCTTCTGAGGTAGGAGCGTGTAGTTCTTCGGATCCGACTCTGCACCTCATAATCAGCATTCATCCTCACATCGCAGCAAAGGGAAGACCAACCAAGAATGTCCCGATTGAAATCCTCAACTCCGTTGAACCCAGCAATACCCATCAAAATATCCAAATCCGCCAGCAACGACTTCATAACATGCCTAACCCCATCCTCGCCCTGAATACTCAACCCCCAAATCCAAAGCCGACCAATAAACACGAATCGCGCCCCCAGTGCCAACGCTTTAACAACATCACTAGCCCCCCTCACCCCAGAATCAAACATGACATAAATGCTCTCGCCAACGGCCTCGGAAATCTTCTCAAGTGCATCAAGACTAGCAACAGCCCCATCAACCTGCCTCCCAGCATGATTACTCACAACAATTCCGTCAACCCCGAGCTCAACACACCTCCTCGCATCACTAACCGACTGAATCCCCTTAATCACAAACGGCCGTCCCCCACTAATCGCCCTCCAAGTCTCCATTAACCAAGGAATCTTCTCCCACGACCAAGCCCGCCCATGCCAAACAGAATCAATCCACTTCGTCGACGCAGCAACAAGATCATCAGGATCAATACCGTCCGCTACACATCTCTTCCGAAAAACAGGGTCTTCAAGTCCCATATCCGCCCCGAATCCACGGTAGAATGCATAATTCGACGATGCGACGTCGTCATGTCGCCATCCAAGCTGCCACGTATCCGTCGTGAGAATCAGCGCGTCGAACCCGTTTTCCCATGCCCTCGTTAGAAGCGATACTGTCAGCTCGTCGTCGTGCGGCATGTATAGTTGGAAAAAGCGGGTGCCTGTAGGCCCGTTTGCTGATGCGACTTTTTCAATCGACGTGCTGCCGGCTGTTGAGAGACAGTACGGTAGGTTGAGCTCGCTGGCCACTTTTGAGACCGCTGCTTCGCCGGACGGGTGGTAGATTTTGTTTATTCCGATTGGGGCGAAGCCGATTGGCGCGGATACTGAATGGTTGAAGATTGTTGTTCTTGTCGAGCGGTTGTTTGTGTCGATTAGTTGGTTTGGGATTAGTCGGTGCCGGTAGAAGGCTTGTCGATTTACGAGGTGTGTGTTCGACATTCCTGCATTTGAGGAGGCGTAATACCTGTTTGATTTTTGGGGTTAGTTCATGTGTATCGGGATATCGCTGGTCCCGTGTCCTGAGGAGGTGGTATGTACCAGCCGCCTTCACTCAGCTTCTCCTTCGCTCTTTCTTCCATTTTTCGGGGGTCTGTAGAAGTTAGGGTTTCTATATGTTTGGCGGGACCATAGTCAAAACTTGCCAGTATTGAATAACGGTGTCGTTCCTTCATTCTGCTTCCAGAAGTTCTCTCGCTGGTAGAGACCCCATTGAGGTGTAGAGCGATCTTTTATATGTGGGTTTGTTGGGTCGCTCATATTACAGATAGGTGAACTTTTTGATTCCAGGTTCTTCAAATCAGTATGTCAACTCGAATAGTACAAAAATAAAAGAGCAAGTTGCCTTCGAAGTAAGTGTTTAGATCAATATCTTATCGATGACTTCATTTTGACGCTGTTTGGCTATTGGAGAACATCACAACCTTGGAAGATTGTAGTGTGACTTCGGCCCGGAGCTTGGTTAAGCTTAAATGAACTCCATAGTCAATACACCTTTCCTTCGCATTTTAACTTCAAGAAGGCCAAATGAAAAATCGGGAAGTTGCTAACAGTTGAACGTATTCGATTTCAGGTTTGGAACCTCGGAAGTTCTCATCCAATATGACAGAGAGCAACCTTCCGAGGTCCAAAAGTGTAAGACCGTTAAGCGCGGAGGGACGATCCGTCATATTCTTATAGGTGTGTATGGCAACCGGGCTGGTGTTAGCCAGCTTATATGACACTAGGGTCGAGTCGGCAAATCATGATTCTTCCTTTGTACGCTTACATTTTGCTTTGAGTCCTTCAGCTACATCCATCCCCAGAACAATATAAAACCCTCAGTCGGGAACGATGACACCGCTTTTCGTATCCGAGCCGAGAATCCCCGGGGCCTAACCAGATCGGGGAAATGTTACGGGAGACTGCAGTGACCATCAGGGGCATAACTCATGGACTTATATAAGTTCTCACTTGCTCACAACAGAATAAGTAGGTTGGAGCGCCTTTTATCAGGCTACTCGGTTGCCAGGACTAACTCCTATTCAAATAAAGTAACCTATTCAAATAAAGTAAATGAAGTCAATTGCCAGTAAAGCGATATAGTCAAGTGGCTAGGGCGGTCACTTTCTGCCAAGCCACCGGGTAATTGAATCTCCCTTGGTCACTACCGCCCTCCGTATACATCGGATCCTCGGTCATCGTCATTTTGAGTCCGGAGTACAATCTACCGGGATATCTACATTTCTGTCTCCTTTTGGGTTTCCTTTGACATCAAAATGTTTGGCCTCAGTAGAAGATCAGCGCTTGCTCGCTCAAAATCCTTGGCTGCGCTGCCCGCGCGAGCCGCAGTCGCAGCCCAGCCATCCTTCATCAGCACCCAGGACTTTCACTCCACGCCGTCTCAGGGGGGTCCCGGCCGACGTGGATGCCCATGCGTGTCAAAACGCCATGGATCGATGCACTGACTCAGATTCGCGAGACTGAGAAGGCTGGACCAGAAGAGAATGCTGGGCAGAGCGTTATGCCTGATGTCTCGCCAAAGAGAATGTCGGACAGTTATTACAGTGCTGTGCGTATAACTTTTTGTATCTGGTGGGGGTGAAAATCGGTTTGATATTGACTGGTTGGTAGATTTTGCCTCTGGCCCAAGACAAATGGCTTTTGGATTCTTATCTCAACGCCTCCGGGCATATCAGGTACGCCTTTCATAGCCTACCTATCAAAAGAACATTTGACTGATCACTCCGACTAGACTGGGATCACTTTTGATGGACCTCGATGCCCTAGCTGGCATCGTTGCATACAGGCACACAGGTGACGGTGTATCCACTGTCACTGCGGCGTGTGACCGGATCACCATTGAGAACCCGCTAATGGAGATTTGTGACCTTGAGCTTAGCGGCCAATGTACCTATGCGACTGGTCGATCAAGCATGGAAATCTCCCTCCAGGTCACCAAGGCCCGCCCGGAAGGACAGGAGCCGAAGCCTGAAGATGTCCTGATCACTTGTGCTTTCACAATGGTTTCACTGGACCCGGTTACCAAGACGTATGTTCCTTCTCTGTATCGAGTGATACACACACACAAACTAACACTACACAACTAGGCCCGTTCCAGTGGCTCCTCTCCTCATTGAAACCGAGGAGGAAAAACGCCTCTTCCGAAAGGGCGAAGCGAATTATCAGGCCAAGAAGGCCATTCGCACACGCAGTCTCTTGGAGAAATCACCAGACGAAGAAGAGAGCAACCTGATCCACTCAATGTGGACGAAGGAGATGTCTTACCTGAGTAAGTACCAGGAAACCTTTTACCCAATCCCTTGCCTAAATCCAAGAATACTAACCCGCCCCCAGAGCCCCAAAGCGCAACTAAGCGCCCCGCGAATCAGGTCTTCATGAGCGACACAGTCCTCAAATCCGCCATGATTATGCAGCCGCAATATCGCAACCGACACAACTTCATGATCTTCGGTGGCTTCCTGCTAAAGCAGACCTTCGAGCTCGCCTTCTGCTGCGCCGCATCCTTTGCACACGCTCGACCAAACTTCGTCGCCCTCGATCCCAGCACATTCGAGAACCCAGTGCCCGTAGGCAGCGTGCTGTACCTGCGCGCGACGGTTTCGTACACGGAACCCGAGGAGCGCGAGGGTGATAGTACAAAGTACACCAAGGTCCAGGTGCGTGTTGACTCTAAGGTGCGGGATGTCGAACACGGCACGAAGAAGTCCACGGGTATGTTTAACTATACGTTCCTTGTTGAGAAGGATGTGGAGGTTATGCCTAAGGGGTATGGTGAGTTTATGCTTTGGGTTGATGCCCGTCGGAGGGCACAAAATGCTGCTGCTATCGATCCGGCGCATAAGCTGAGTGCGCTGCGGAGTATTAAGGACAGTGTTACTGAGTAGGCAAAAGTTAGTTGGGTTGTTTATTATGCTTTCTGGGTTGGGTCGGGCATTTTCCCATTAGATTTAGATCGTTTCAGGGTCTCGTGTGTTTGAATATATATTGGTGGTTTCTTTTGTCTTCCGTTGAAAATATATATATTCGCTGGGCTATCTGCATATCAAGATAGCACTCAATACTGAGGAATATACCAGCAGAACTTAGAAAGAGATCAAAATTTTCAGAGAGGCATAAAAGCCACTTATCTTGTGAAGGCTACCATGCGAAGAGAAAAGAAGAATCTATATACAACGCCCTCCATTCGCCTCACAGTTCCATCCAACAAAAGTATGTATAAAACGGGCGGGGAATATGTATATAACAGCATAGAAGAAAAGAAACACAAGCCGAACGCAAATATTCCATCCAGTATTCCAGTATTCCAGTCCGCCCAGCTGGAGAACCAACCATGAAACCGACTCCATGTAAAAATGAGATGAGAATGATATAAAGAATCCTCCCAGACCATTGCAATGCAACCGGGGTATACACAGAGGTTGATCCAACTGAAAAAGATCCCAGTCCCGACTATAACTCCTCCTTCCGTGGAAAAGGAAAAAATTTCAAAAATGTTCGTTTCAAGTCGTGATTTCAGGCTTTTTTTGACCTTGGGTGGCTTTTAAGTGTCTTGTCACTTCGCCTTTTATAATTTGAATATGAGAGGTATTTTGTTTTTGGTGTTTTTGTTTGTGAGAGGTGAGCAGATGTCCAGGGGTAATTGAGTGATGTTGAGGTGATGCTGTCTTTTTGTAACAGTGTTATGTGGAGATTCGAGATTCTAATTTCAGATTTATCGATAAATGCGAATGAGTTCAGCGTCTCGATTGTCCAAAAGAGCAGAGGGACGATTAGTGCCACAAGGGTGAGAACTATCATCCAACCCCTGGAGTATGAACTGGCGAGGAATGCAATTAACAGCACAGAGCCGCTTGCCGGGAACCGTCTTGTAGGCGGATGCTACAAGGCAGAGGAACTTCCCGATCAAGGGAGACACGACTTATTGATTGTCATTGCTCGCTAAGAACTTCCGAGATGGCATTGGACGTCAATGAACCCCCAGTCTGGGAGCCAGAAGCTGTTTTATCCCTAGGCCCCCGAGGCTCGCGAGGCTCCGGCGGCTGCTCTTCTTTCATGCAAGCATTTTCCAAGATGTTAGTCCACTTCCCACTGGTGCCAGCATGGCTATGCTTCAGATGCTGTCGGAAGTGGTCTGCGCGGAAGAATTTCTTGGCATTGTTGCACTCGCCGAATTTGTGCACGGTGGTCAAGTGCTCGAACCGTTGATCCCAGTCTGCCTGAGGGAAATTGGGGAATTCCTCCCCGCAGTAGCCGCACGTGTCATGGGTAGGTCCGGCATTTGTCTGGCAGGACTGTGTGCCTGAGGCGTGGAATGCGGCTTGGAAGCTCACGAGTGCAGCACACGACCATGAATGGCGTCGTAGGTGGAGGGAGTTTTGGTGTCGCTCGGCTTCGTTTTTGTTCTTGAAGCGGTGGTTGCAGTATGCGCATGCGTACTGTTTCTCCATCTCGTGTGCACTGTTCTGAATTAGTATGGCTCATATAATGAAGACATCTTAGCGTCAACTTACCGCAGACCATCTGGATTGTCGAACTTCTTGGGTTTCTTTGGACAACAATCGCAGATGAAAAGCCCGCCGATCTTCGGCGCGGCCGGCTTTGGTACATTCATAATCGTCGTCGGCACAGACATCTTCCCAGTGGCGTCCGTCGCAGGTGGTTCCAAAGATGCAGGTCCTGGAATTCTTGGAAGGCTAGGCTGAGAAAGCGCCGCAGTAGGGCTGGGGTTGAGAATAGATTTTTCGTGGAAAGTATCGAGATCGGAGCTTGGCGAAAAACCACCTGGAGACGGCCGATCGTACGGAGAAAGGCTGGTCATACTGCTACCTCCAATAGACAGCGTAGACGAATACGAGCCCGAGGTCCGGATGCTCAAGGATGAGCCGGCTGAAAAGGTTCGTTGACTCGTGGCGTAGTTGGGGTTGACCGAGAGTGTGTTGGTAAACGGATGACCACTGAGTCTTCGTTGTGACAAGTCTCCGTTACTCGTAGCGACGTGCAATGTATGTCTATCGTCGCTTATCGGCTCACGCGGAGGTGATGATGCCCGTCGTTTCATGCCATGTCTCGAATCCGGATATGGCGGAGTGGGCTCTCGAAGAATGAATTGCCGCGGGGGTGCCGGCTCGTCAGTCGAAAACTCTCCCTCGATATCTGAAAACACGCCCTGGTCGTAGCTTCCGCGGTTCGATCGACTCGGTAGACTGATGCTGTCTTCTCGCTGTGGCGTTGTTCCACGATAGCGGCGTCGGCTCACATCCCGCAAAGATCCTTGGTCGTAATCCAGTGCTGATGATGGTGCGTTGCTCTCCACGCTTGGGCTTCGGCCTACATACTCTCTCCAGCCGACCTTGGTCCTGGGAGAAACGCCCCCGGACTGAGGGCTGTTGTGCCATTTCACGTCCAGTGTTGACCCTTCCGAAGGCCCGGGTGATGGCAAATTGCTAGGGCTTCGTGAGGGGACGGTGAGCGCAGGGAGCGAATTTCGATTGTCGGTTCCGAGACTGATAGACCCCCCTGGGGATGGAGGTTTTGCTATTTGAGGCTTTCCAATTTTGGATAACAGGTGTTGATCGTAAGCATTTGATGAGTCTTTGACACTCCGCAGTGAAAATTGACGTTCGCCACTCAAGCTATCAATGTGTTAGCAAGGATCAACCTGGCATAGAAAAGCGCGGTACTGTGAAACCGAGAGTTGTGCGCAGTCCTGGCGCATCAAGTGGGCTTACATTGGACCCGCCGGATTCGGGATGACCGACATTGAGTTTGGAAATCCGTCTGTAGCTGGCAGAGGTGGCTGGATCTGGATCTGAGTTTCGGGGCTTCGCGAGAGGGGAGCTCCACCCTGCCTCCCCTCTAAATCGTCTATCTGCATTGGATCACCCTGAGAGGCAGTTTCCGGTCGTCGGCCTCCAAACAAACTTGAGCTCGGGTTGATAGGTGGAAGAGAAGTCGGAGTTTGTAAATTTGCGTGTTGCCAGCCAGCGTCATAACCCATTTCCAAGTCGGGGATTCTGGGTGGCGGCGGAAGTGGTGGAGGGGCAGTGTTCATAGTAGTTCTAGTCCGTGAAGCTATAGGTAGTGGACCGTGAGATGAGAGTGCCAGCTCTGGCATAGCGTATTGGGATTGGGAAGAACGCTTGTCTCTGAAATCATGGAAGCTCGGCGGAGAAAATCGAAGGTCCATTCTAGAACCAGAACATAGAGCCGGAATTGGAATCAAGATGGGCTGGTGCGCATCCAGATGAGCGGAAGTTGAGATCAGAAATAAACTCAGGCAAAAGACAAGGTCGAGCTTGATGTGAATCGGAACAAGCAGGTCGAATCAAGATCTCCAAATCCCAGCAATAACCCAATCCAGTTGAGTGCAAACGTCGGTCGTGAAACCAGCTCTGATTGTTAAGCGGGCCGTTAACCAGCCTCACACACTCCGAATAGTTTCTCAGAAGGTCCAGCTTCTGCTTCAAGAGTGGAAGGGCGAATAGTTATATGGCGACAATGTCAATAGAAAACTTCATGCAGTGTAAAAGTCTTGTGAGTCTACTTTAAGAGTCAGATCATTTGAAAGTGGACTTGACCAGATAATAAAAGACCGGGGTCATAGGGGGGATAGGGCTGAAGAAGGCCTACCTCGGGACCCTTGTTCGGCGATTCGCCTCATATAAGATGAAACGTTTTCCCGTAAGTGACACACGGAGAACCGGGTCTGTGTCCCATAGAACTTGGCCACACTGTAACTTCAAGGTGCACACATGCTTAATAGAAAACAAAAATAGAAGAAAAAAAATACTAGTAATATGTTAGAAAGATGCAATTAAGGCCGGAGATTTGAGTATAAAGAAATACACACACACTCTATGCAATGGGGGTACCCCACTAGCTGAAGCCCGTAAAAAAAATAGTGCAAGGCGAAAAAAGTGAAAGGCTGAAGGCTGAAGGGAGCTGATCAAATAGAATCAAAAAGGAAAAGACTGCAATGCCAGATTGTATCGGGTAGGAATTTGGGCGGTGCAAGCGATTGGATCCAATTCAGGCAAAGGGTGATCTCATCCTCTAAGGGGAGAAAAAGGCCTAATCAGAGGCAAAGAGGCAAAAAAAAAAGGGGAAATTGAAAACATACCAGCCCTAGAGGTCTAAGGTCTTTGGGTGACGTGGAAAAGCGTATATGTATGTATCGTTCGTATATGTGTCACGTCCATTACATACCAGTTATGTTTTGAAAAGGAATTTATGTAATGTTATTTGATATTCTCTCCGTACAAATATAATTTAAACAAATTAAAATGTAATTACGAGACAAATTGAGCCTTAAGGTAATTTTCAGACGGTTATTCGATGGTCTCCGTATACAAAAATCTAGGCCTACTCCAGGAAATGAGAATCGACTGGGCCCAGAGAGTTCCAGAGTTCCAGAGTTCCCGATGTGACGCTCCCTACCCCATATGGAGTCTTTACAGAATGGCCGTGCGGCCAACCTTTATATATTGGACGCGCAAATGCGACCCAGATTATGGTCCACATTATTACTACACCTAGTACAAGTCGTCTTCACTGCATACTGGATTTTTAGTAGAAAGGTGACGAATAGGAGCTATCTTGAGAGAAAAATCCGGGAAGCACGTTCCCTCGAACCATGGTTTATAGTTTGTTAGAACTTGCCAAAATGTTAGGGGGTACACCGTTCTTGAGTCCTTAGAAGTATAGATTGGCATCTTGTGCCTTGCAATATACGGGAACTCTTGGCATTTAGGCTTAATATCTGCGCTAATGTTGAACAAGATACGTGTACATTGTATAGTGTATGGCAAGATGTGTTCGGAGGATTCGGGCCCTACATTCATTAGAGAACATTCTTTTGCCTCCACATAAAAAGGACAATGCTGAGTCGTTGGACAGTGATCCACTGATTTACTAGTGCGCTCCACTTAGCGCCTGGCATTGCATGCACTGCCACACTGTCGGTCCGCCTGTCATCTGGGCGCAGAGGGGGTGAACCTTGACGCTGGTGTGATCAAACGTTCTAGCTAGAGGCAGGCATGTTGAACGGCATTCTTCAAAATAAAAATCATAGAAAATGGCCTGGTCTTTGGCGATGAGTGTGAAGTTGAGAAATGAGAACGTTGGAACAAACCCTCCAGGGCTGCAGGGAACATGGCTGAGTAATCAGCCTAGTGCTCCACATCGGCTTCGAGAAGGAAAATCTCTGTTTTTCTTTTGTTTTTCTTATTATTATTTAGAGAATATCGCTGAATTGGGTATTCCGGTGCAATCTAACGTGTTCACGTTAGACTAGTGTCATAAAATTCAGGTTCTAATCTACGTTAGTACCTATGTAGTAGAATGGGGTTTCATCCCAAGGGGATGGGCGAACTCTACGTTAGATGTATAGCCCTAGAACCCTATCCCAAGTATGGCGACCAGATATGCCGAGCTTCTTGGTTTATACGGATTAATGATTTTCTACTCTCAAAAGTTAGGGTTGCTCCAGGGAGCTCAACAATAGGATTTTGTACCAAATGGCAGTGCCCCCCTTGGCAAGGGGTATCACCTCTCTGAATTGATCGTTGTCTACTGTATACTCCGTACAAAGTAGCAGATACAAAGACCAGTCTAATATGTATTTCTCATCGATCGTCGCCGTCAAGCCACTTGATGTTCCAGGAGGCGCCCTTGACTTATTTAGGAAATAAATAGATTGCGGTCGGCGACAGCTGACTAGGTAAGCTACACACCTCCATTGAGGCATGTTTTTACATTTTGCTTCAGGTAATGATTACCAGAGCGATAGGCAGCAAAGACACTTGGTCAAGAGGCGTCAGCAGAGAGGGGGTTTACGGATTTTGTACGGAGTACGGAGTAGTTCGGCTGACTTCGGCTGATAACACCCGGTCAGCAGAAACCAAGCCCTGAAAGAGTCCAGGTGCATTGCTGCATTGTACCTCCTGAGGCGCAGCCAGCCTTAAGCCTTAGAAGGCTGCAGCCTAGAAGCGCGGGTTACGCCTCTCAATGTAATCCGAGACGAGTTAGCCTCCTTTATAGTACTTCGTAATGAGGCCTCCCGCTCCGTTGATTGCTCCATTCCTGATCAGCCCAGGTCCAGGTTCCCCGCGGTAATCCTAACTAAGCCTAAATCTAGCTTCCCTTTTTTGCCCCGTGAGCACCCCCTTACAGTTCGCATAGCAAATCAGATTATCAGCTAACGAGGTTGATTGTTTGACCTTTGTCGGATGTAAATCGCTCTCCACATAGCGGAAAACGCTCATTGAACAAATCCACACTCTCTTATAGCTGGAATTGCTGCTGTGACCATTTGAGGGTCAATAGGTGGAGTTCAAATCAAATGACAATTCTATATTTCCCTAGATAAGCTGAACAAATAAACCCAGATCTGAGATATAAGTATCTACTGCCTGAGGCACCAAAGTCACCTGCTTTGTCATACCCTTACCCTATCAGACTTTTTGAGTTTGGCAGCGCCGAGGCTCAACCTCCGCCTTTGCGATCTAAGAAGAAAAAGAAGTCAAGTTATCAAACTGACACTGGAGCTGAGCTTCTGAATTCTGTATTTTCTCTCTCGCCATCAACAAAACATCCTACTGCTGCCTAGTTGCAGCCACCATATCTCAAAATGGCCATGAATCAAATAAAAGGCCACAATATCTATGTTGGAGGGTTGGTCTCACTTCACTAACAGACAATCTTTGTCGGGGTTTCACTAAAATGGAGCTAAGACTGGAGATTGGCACTGCCAGTTCCTGATTTGGCAGTTTTTATTCATTGCTAACGCGCCATTTGTAGCATATTAAGCGTCAAAAACAAAGCAGCATTGGCACGTGCAGATATCTCGCATGTCGTCTCGGTGCTGCGTCTCAACCCAGCTGAGGAACAAGAGAAGTTCTCATCTTACCAGCATCTTTCCATAGGAGTTGACGATGTCGACGATGAAAATTTATTGGAGCATTTCCCCGCTGCTATCAAGTTTATTCAGTCTGGCCTAAACGGTGGTGGAGGTGTACTCGTGCACTGGTAAGTCGAAGTACAAATTATCTAGTCTCCCGGCTCTTTGGCCGTTTCTTGTGGAATGCATATTCTTGAGTGGCTTCATGCCTCCTACGTCATTGCGTGTCCACCAAGTGCGATCTACACGTGGCTGAAGGATTCCGCAAATCCCTGTGATGCACGTTGGATCCGTGCCTGGCCTTGCTCATCGTGGAAAGATGTACAGTGGCTAATACGATGATCCAGTGCGATGGGGAAGTCCCGCTCCGCGGCCATTTGCATCGCCTACTTGCTCCACCGCCAGCCAGGGGCGCTCACACCGCAATCCGCCCTTGCGCTGGTTCGCGAAAGCAGGCCCCTATGTGAGCCAAACGATGGCTTTATGGAGCAGCTGAACCTGTACCATGAGATGGGCTGCCCAGACGATGTCACCGACCATCCGTCTTACAAGCGCTGGCTTTATCGCCGCGATGTTGAGGGAAGTGTGGCGTGTGGCCGTGCCCCAGAGCTGAAATCGGTGCGGTTTGAAGATGAACAGCCCGTTCGGTCCCAAGATGCCACTGGTCGAACGGTTGAGATTAAGTGCCGGAAATGCAGGTTAGTCCCACAATCAAAGATCCAGACCCGTCCTCCTGAAAAAAGAAAAACTCTATATTTACTAAATCCATCACAGAACCAAACTGGCAACGACTCCATTCATCCTCCCGCATGAAGAAGAAAAGCAAAATACCGCCAAGTCCTCAGCAACCGCCGATTGCGGCCATGTTTTCCTCCACCCCCTGACCTGGATGCGCCCAAGTCTCTTCCCATCCGAGGATGGAACTGAGGCTAACGTGGATACAACATATGGTGCGCACCCCGACGATGCCCCTCTCTCTGGGCGCCTCACTTGCCCCAATCCTATCTGCGGGTCCAATGTGGGCAAATTTGCATGGCAAGGTCTTCGATGCAGCTGTGGTGGCTGGGTCGTGCCCGCCATTGGTCTCACCAAAGCCCGCGTTGATATTGCCCAAGTCAACCTGGCTCAGGGGCCCAGAGCTAACCCTGCCATCC